AAACTTAATTTTTGAATGCCGGAACCAATCTTTATGAAATTTGGTATGTGTATCACAGTACTTGAGCCCATCACAACAGTGTGCTTAATAAATCCCTCCCTTCAGTCTGTGTGTCTGTATGTGTATCCTTCCTGTCGTTGCTTGACAACGGCTAGGTAAAAAAACGTTACCGCGGCAGAAAAATATACATACAACTATAGAAGAATTGTTGAGAGCGTTGTTTTCTATGCCGTCCGTGTCGTATCAAAGGAAGGCAGGCGATTAATTCTTCACCGAACTTGTTATTTATTTGGTTTTCAACTCGTATGAATATTTATTTATATATTTTAGTATTTATGAAAGTGATATAGGTCTTAGACGCCGGGTTTCAACCACGAAGCCTCCCTCGTATTCAATCTCCGGTGAATTCATGTGAGGTGTATGGCGGAAAAAGTGACACTGGAGGTTGTATTTACTCCAGTGTCATCGACTTTCCCCTGTTAATCATCATTCCGAGAGCTCTTCCGAATTGTGACACCGTGTAACCTGGTATGTGGTTTCGAACGGTTCAGACGAAATTCTTACCTTCATCTGCAGGGCAATTTATCCTAAATTTGGAGGCAGTATTGTATTCCGAAACGTCGGTAATCATATACCATACTATATACGTTGTAATGACCTAAACCTGTATACAAGCTCTTGCACAGCGAACCGGATATGCCAGTCTATCGCAGGTGCGGTAGATTATGATGGTACAAGCCCAGCGGCGATCCTTTACGCAAAAAGGAGAGGCAGAGGTTCGGCAAGATGGCAAATCACTGATTTCAGTGGCGTGCTGACAACTTGAGCAGCCATGCTAAGTATCCGCCGCGAAGGCTCAAGTTCAGTGGCGTGCTGACAACTTGAGCAGCCATGCTAAGAATCCGCCGCGAAGGCTCAAGTTCAGTGGCGTGCATGTCAGCATCGACGTTGATGACAGTTTTCTCAAAGTTTCGAAGGAACACACCGCCTCCATCTTCAGGGTAATCCGAAATATTGGCAAATACCTACAGGACTAGACGGCGTCACATCATATTTACCACTGTGAGAACCTCAGAACCCACACATATCAAGTTCATTAATGATGTTCGAAGTTTGGAAGATGGGAAATAAGAAAAGAAATTAAAGCGGAGATGTGAGACGAAAAAGACATGAAGGGATGTCAGGAAAAAGAAGCAGAGTGTTTGTTTAATGACGCCATCAGTACCTCAGATTATATAACGTCTAATAATAGAGTGATACGTGAATAATGATTAGTAATGTGAAAGAAAATTTGTTCAGTTAATTTATTTTGTCTGGAGGGAATTAGTGACAAATATTGTCACTCAGGGTAGCAGTTTTATAGCCAAGATTTGAAACCAAGATGTCCTGAATACGAAATACACATTTTATTCACATCACCGCTAAATTCGGTTAATATGTTATGGAGCATCCTATAGAAGCGTAAACGTTTCTTTCATTTGCATGCAAAAAAATAACGGGAAAAAAAAGGACGGCACTCAAGCTCGCGGGCAGCTTCACACATCCACTGCGTGTCCTTGGCCATGAACACTCAAATTGAAAGGATTGGATCCTGGCTTCAGATGAATTTTAAACACTTCGCCGAAGGAACTCGAGTTTGTTTAACCCGCCCATGATCGCTGAAGTCAATGTAACGCCTGTTGAGGAGAGCAAAGGTTAGCTTTCTTTTATTGCTAGTGGGGTGGGACTAAGTCCCTGTACAGCGGCCACTTCTGGCCAATTGTACCAGCCCCAGATGATAGGTGAGGGTGATTGTGGAGCAATTGGTGGAATGAAGCCTGGCAGGGGAAACCGAAGTACTCGGAGAAAACCCGCCCCAGCGCCACTTTGTCCACCACAAATCCCACTTGACCAGACCCGGTGGGAAGCCAGCGACTAACCGCTTGAGCCATGGCGCGGCCCTAATGGTTACCTTACGGTGGAGTGCGCGCGATGCCACGCAACAGACGCGTTACAGCTGGCTTACAGCGCCAATATTCCGGCTTTGCAGTCGATAACAACGGCTGTTTCCCATCCTTTAAGGAATTCCTCATTGCACTACATATTCTGTTTGGAAGTGCCTTGTTCAGGAAGAAAACTGATAATTATTTGGAAAATGATACATAGCCGGGTATATCTTCCAGTATATAAAGCCAATCTTTATGCAATGTGCATGTTTCGTAAGGAATTTTAAATATGCTAATAAACTTAACAGTATTTTGTCATTTTATTTATTCTATAATTTAACAAAATAACGATTTCAAGAACGCATATCCATGAGTGTAGTTGGTTGAGGCACTATGTTACAAACCGGAAGGTCGCGGATTCGATTTCCAATGAGATCATTGGATTTTTCAATTTACCTAAACCTTCCAGCCGCACCATGGCCCTGGGGTCGACTCAGCCTCTAACAGAAATGAGTAACAGGAAT